AGCTATGACATACAACTATCTACTGGGGCTTTGGGGGGGGGGAGTCTTGTTTTGGACAGTGGCAGCTGTTAAAGACACACGAACAAAATGAATGGGATTCATAATATAATAAGAAACTTAAAAATTTCAAAGAGCATCTTAACAAACATACCAATGTTAATGTGTGAGAATTTTTGCATTTCTTAATTTTCTAATTAGTAGAGAAGACACTAGAAGTATGAATTTGGGGGCTTGAGCATCTACCTCCAAATCAAATTGAATAATCCTCAGTCTAATGTCGTGTTTTAATCGAAAAACCTTAGCACAAGAAAGGTTATAACATATGTCATTAATGATACAACCTGACAAATGCAACATGTAACCAGAACAGTTGCTTTTCCTTTTCTGGACACTTTTTCATTTTTTCTAATCCTAAAAAGCTTAACTGGATTTGTCTGGCTGCCAGCATAATTCAGGGGCAGAAGCCTGAATTTAAGGATATATAAAATGACTAATTTAAGTGTATACAATATAAGAAATAAAAAAATAATTTCCATATTGGCATCCACACTGCCTACATTACATAATTAAAACGATATAGGGCCGGCCCTGTGGCTTGGTGGTTAAGTGCGCGCGCTGCGATGCTGGTGGCCCGGGTTCGGATCCCGGGTGCGCATCGAGGCGCCACTTCTCCGTTCATCCTGAGGCCGAGTCCAGCATACAGCAACTAGAAGGATGTGCAGCTACGACATACAACTATCCACTGGGGCTTTGGGGGGAAAAAATAAAATAAATAAAATCTTTTAAAAAAAAAAAAAAACGATATAATTGAAAACCTAAGAAGAATCACATGGTGTCATCCTTTTGTATTTCTTGATTTCTGTAAGGTTAGACAAGCCACATCAATATCAGGTTAACTAAACCTTTTATTGATTATTTCTAGAGTATTTTGCAAACTTTTTTTTAACATAGAGAGTAAAACCCGAAGAGAAACAAAAGCAGTCCTATACAACTTTGTTTACCCAGACTTGCTAAGATGTTCAAGGATACCAGTCTATAAAAACCAGAAGTGCAGAGACTGGGTAGTCAGGGAAATAGGAAGAAGTTGGTAAAAAGGTACAAGCTTTCAGCTATACAATGAAAAAAGTCTGAGGATCTAACGTATAATTTGGTGACTATAGTTCGTAACACTATCGAACAATTGAAATTTGTTAAGAAAGTAGAACTTATATGTTCTCATCAAAAAAAAGATAAATATGTGAGGTGACGGATCTGTTAATTAATTAGATGGGAGGAATCCTTTCACAATATATACATGTACCAAATCATCACGATGTATACTTTAAATATCTTACAATTTTATTTATCCATTATACCTCAATAAAGCTGGAAAAAAAAAACACTAGAAGTGAAACCTCACCTATAGCACTCTAGAACTTAATGATATACTCTCATATAATTACTTAATATGCAGAACCTGCTTCTAAAGGCTTATTTATTGTTATATTTTACCTTGAGGGCCAGCCCAGTGGCATAGTGGTTAAGTTGTCGAGCTCTGCTTCAGCGGCCCAGGGTTCACCGCTTGGTATCCCGGGCGCGGACCTATGCACCACTTATCAAGCCATGCTGTGGCAGCATCCCATATAAAGTAGAGGAAGATGGGCACGGATGTTAGCCCAGGGCCAATCTTCCTCAGCAAAAAGAGGAGGATTGGCAACAGATGTTAGCTCAGGGCTAGTCTTCCTCACAAAAAAAAAAAAAATTTTACCTTGAAACATATAGTCTATGGTTTTCATGTATATTTTAACATTCCAGGTAGTTATTAGTTATTTAATTTATATAGGGCTGCCTATATTTTACTTTTAGAAATTAAGATCTTTGGGGCCAGCCTGGTGGCACAAGCGGTTAAGTGCGCACGCTCCACTGCGGTGGCCCAGGGTTCGCCGATTTGGATTCCGGGTGCTCACCAATGCACTGCTTGGCAAGCCATGCTGTGGTGGTGTCCCATATAAAGTAGAGGAATATGGGCATGGATGTTAGCCCAGGGCCAGTCTTCCTCAGCAAAAAAAGAGGAGGATTGGCAGATGTTAGCTCAGGGCTGATCTTCCTCACAAAAAAAAAAGAAATTAAGATTTTCTACTCTGAAAGACCACTGAAATATATATATACACACACACACAAAAGAAAACAATAATTAGCAAAATTCACTTATAAGTGAATAGAATTTTTTCAATCAGGTCTTTTAACTTTTTTTATCTGTGAAACATAAAAACTTTGCTCTTTAACACAAAATCTTGATTTTCAGGGATATAGAACATAAAAATAATTAAAAAGCCTGTTGCTTTTAATTTTAATTTTTTTTAATTAATTAACAGGTTAATCACTTGAAACAGAAGCTATAGAATTTGAGTTGATATCCCAGTTCTTCCATTTATCAACTGGATTACAGGGTTCAAATGACTTAGCTTCCTCCTTGGTAAAATGGGATTAATGATATTTGTTTATTTCATAACATTATTCTAAGGATCAAACAAAATTATGAACTGAGAAGTGCTTCGTAAGCTACAGGGCATTAAACAAATTTAAGATGTTTTTAAATAATAATTTTATCTAATTGAAAAATTATGACTTATGCAACATATCATTCCTAACAGTGAGTTTGATGTCTAAACACAGGTACCACTTTGGAACCATACATTTAGCCAGTAAGAAGTAGAATGTCTTTCTGGTCACCTCTCTGACACATTAAAAACCTATAAGAAAAAGATCTATAGTTAGAGCCAGGCTGTATTAGGTGGACAGTGTATTCACTAGGACAATTCTTAATACAAAGAAAGTAGAGGGGCTGGCCCTGTGGCCTGGTGGTTAAGTTTGGCATGCTCCACTTCAGCGGCCCGGGGTTCAGTTCCTGGGCGAGGACCTACACCACTCATCAGTGGCCATGCTGTGTCAGCGGCCCATATACAAAATAGGGGAAGATTGGCACAGATGTTAGCTCAGGGCAAATCTTCCTCAAGCAAAAAATAAACAAACAATAAAGACCTTTAAAAAAAAAGAAAAGAAAAGAAAGTGGAAACATGACTCTGAAGAGGAGAAATATCAAAGGTCCTCTTCACCAAGAGTGAAACTTTGAAATCCATCTATTTAAGATTAATCACTATTCTTTTAGTTAAGCTCTTGTCATCTCCAACTTTCCCTGAGTAGAAAATAATCTACACTTCCAACTAAGTTATTCATGGTCCAATTTGTTCTCAGAATACTATAATAGGCTTTGTGAAGATAAGTTTTATAATAGGGATTTAACATAGTGAGAAGCCCCGATCCAGAGGCCTTCAAACACAAAGAGTATATGTGGATATAAACTGCTCTGTCTCCTCCCTCTCTTCTGCCACTCTCCCTTGTCCCCTTTCCCAAAAGGACACTCACCCCTACTTAAAATCTAATTTTTACAAAGGATTCAGATGAAATGCCATCTCAACAACTTCACAGGACAACTGGTTTAGCTACTGCAGTGTTGCTTTGGAGCCATCTTCAACAGCGCTGGGGAAAGGGGAAAACTTTTGGATAAAGTACCACTGGAAGAAGGAATGCTGTGAAGGGTTTTAAGAAAGAGAAACATTCAAAGTCTTCCCTCTTGGCAGTTCTGTCTTGCTTGATGACCACATTTATATTGAGTTCACAGGCTAGAGCTCTCAAAGACAACTCTACTTTCCCGGAGAAAATAAAACTTTTAGGGTGGCATCCTGGAAAAAAAAAAGAAGGAAAAAGAAAGAATCATTGATGATTTACAGACAATATTTTTATTTTCCAAGCTTTTGATATCTTAACCTGTTGAAAATATGTAAAGTTAATTCAGAGACACTATTAATTTATTGTTTTTTCCTCCTTAGCTCTATAAGATCTAACTTTCCATATTTATAATTTTTATCTCTTTTGTATCCAAATGAGTGTATTGGCTCTTTCATTTTACAAAGTAGCAAGTGACTTGGAGCACAGCACAAGTTTATCTTCATTCCAGATGGTGGTTGGTTTTTCTTTAAGGTTCCTTATTTTCCCATTTTAAATATTTCAAGGCACACACACAAAATTTAGTATTTAAAATACTTGAAACTCTTTATCTATTAATGTACTTTAATAACTAGCTTCCCTTTTCTGTACATGTTACATCCCTGCTGTCCCTATTTTGTTGCAAGTCAGCCTATCTTATTTGCATATTTGTAACAAAGTATATAAAAGGATAAAGACGTGGTTTATTAAGTATGCATATTCAGAACTTTTCTTTGATTAAAAAATCCTACAAATCACATAAGAATTATGTAACAAATATACATTTTTAACTTTTTTTAACAAAGAAAATTTCCTTAAATTGTTTTTTAATGTGCTTTTAATGACTTCTAGCACTCACACTTCCTTACTTGCTTTCCAAACTGTTTATACTGTCCCTAATAACACTCAGTGGAAAGCTGTCATTCCTGGCTAAATCCTTACTTAGGGTGGATGCTATGCCTCCGTGAGACAGGGTCAGGGGGTCAAAATCGATTTGGGAGGCCACCTGGAGAGTCCAGGCCATGAACTGACTCAAAAAATTTATATCAGAGCCGGAATAGTCCACCTCCCAGGGTCAGATCTGGCCTGACACTCCAACCGCAGGCTGGGGCATGCTAGACCAAGCTCAGAGAGAGGCCAGAGTTGTTGACCCTGCTAGCTGACCTCTTCAAACTTCAGGAGAATTTTTTTGGCAGTTACCACGGTGACTGGGTACTCTAAAAGCTTATCCTTCTTACTGAAAGGAGGAAAAAAAATTAGGAAAAAAATATGTTAAAACCTACCTTGCAGAGATGCCTATCACAAAGTTAAAAAAAAAAAAAAAAGGAAAAAATTGAAGGAGCTCTAAATTGCCTATGCCTTTGATATTAATTTCCACTGCTGTCCTAAAAAAATTGGAATTTGTAAGGTTTTTCAAACAGCAAAATTTCACATTTGGAACAGATATTGCTTGCTTTTTTTTTTTTTCTTTTTACCAATAGCTGACAACAATTTGAATAATATTTAAAATACTTTTTAAATAACGTAATTTCCTTGGAAATTCTAACATCTCTCTGCTTTTCTTTGAGAATAATCAGCTTTGAAATAAGATCCATCATAAATGCCAATCTATTAGGGAAAAATACTGTAACTAAATAATCATTTTTGCATCAAAAATATACTCAATATTTTTTTCCTGAGAGAAAAGTGTCCATTTTTGCTTGACTTGAAATAATAAAATTAGGAGAAAAGCAAGGGGCCATTATTATTATTATATATTTTATCTTTTACCAAATGACAATAAAATAATGTATACACCAAAAACAATATTGTAAAAATACTCTCTATATAACAAAAGAACACTAGGAGGTAAAAAATACAATGTGCACTTTATTTTAAAGCAATATACATTTAAGCTAAAAAAAAGCCATAGAATATTCTTCCATGTTAATACCAAATGCTGTCTTGTCCTAAAGTTCCACAACAATAGAAAGAATTATGAATTAAAATGTAATTCCCCATGTGGTAACATTATAAAACTCTACTAGTTGATTTTTGGTGATAGATTGTAATACAAAATACTTTAAAATGGCTCCCGTATGTGACTTGGAATTAGAGAACTGTAATAAATCAGATGTATAATATTTTTTAATCATCATAATACTTGCTTTTAAAAATACCTGTGTACCGTACAGTGACTTTTTGTAAAGTGAAATCATTGACTCCTACTATTGCTACTGCTCTGGACTTCCTTTATTTTAATTTTCTCATCTACCTCTTACATGACCCAGGTCCTAGAAGTCTTGAAAGGAGTTTCTCCAGCATCTGGGTGATGCGTGCCTGTTTTGTGTGTGTGCGTGTGTGTGTGTGTGTGTGTGAGACCATGAGCACGTACAAATGATCAAACATTGGTGAGGGGAGTGTGAATTTGCATTTTAAAAAGCAGTGGCTATATAACAAAACAATGTCTTTGGTCTAAATATTATTTCTCATCTTCATTCTAAGCCAAGGAAAAAAAAATGATGAATTACAGAAATATAGTAACTGACACTCCAAAAATGCATACTGAAATTTCAGAGGGATGTTTTAACCTCACCTTGAATGTTCATTTTGCTGTGACTTATTTTCACTGTTTTGCAATCACCACTAAATTCCTAGAACAGAATGGACATAAAACCAGGTACCTATTCATCTTAATTTTTTAAAAACAAAACATAATTCAGATTATAGTTTCCTTTCTTGTCTTGTGTTCAAAACAGCCAGTGAAAGGGAAGATCAGAGAGATACTTGGAGATGATTTTGCCGTGTGATCCAACTGCACTTTGCTAAAACACAGCTCTTTCAATTAGATAGTGTAGTTCTTGCCATTGCAAAATGGCAACCAGGATTGGTGAGTCACTACAACTGTGGTGCCAGCTCATTCTCTATGACGAACTCTGACTGTCCTTCCCAGCCTGGAACTCTTGGCAAGTTTCCTTAAAGACCCGGAGGCTGGCAAAGCATGAGGAACTATCAAACAGGAAATGAGATCCTCCTTTGGTTTTGAAAAGAAATGACAGAAGTCTTAAAATAAGGAAAGCCAGACCAGAATCTCTTAAACCACAAGCCTTATCTTGAGTGAAACATTATTTCTAAGTTGGATCTGGAAAAGGAAAAGAAGTTCAAGTATAAGACAATGATTCACTTGTAGGCAAGAAAACAATGCCTTGGTTTCCTCTAGTCAAATTAGGATCTCTCCCAGGAAAAGACCAGAAATCATTTGTCAGTCTTCTGCATAAACTTTTACTAAAAGGACTATGAAATAAATAGATATTTTATTCAGTAACCGATAGACTTGGATCTTCTCTTTTGTTGTAACAAATATGTTATATAACTACAGAATTTAGGGACTGAGAGGGACCTAAGAGATTATCTAGCCCTATCTCTTTACATGTATGAAATCTGAAGCCCAGACACAGGAACTGCCCTACATACACACTATTATTTACATGCCTCCACTAGAACTTAGACCCTGCTCAGCATTTCAGCTTAGTGTGTTTTCCACTCCAATGTGCGGCCTCTTCCCTGGGGGAAAGAATATTAAAAGTCCACATCAGTAGACATATTCAAAGCCTGGAGATAGAGTTATTCTGGGACCATGGTTTGAAATGATTGTGAAACTCATTCATGTCACACTTCCAGGAAACAACTTGAGGTACCACACAAGCAGAAATTCCACAAAATCAGGTAGTGCAACAATAACATGTGCTGTAGGAAGCTTCAAAATTCTCAGGAACTTCTGTCTGATGGTAACAAGGGCATGTTGTTAATATTATTTCTCCAGTTAATTGTTTTTATTGATTTGTTATGGCTAATAAGCACCAATGGATTTTCTTTCAATCGGTACATAGCCTCCACTCTGCCAGATCTGTAATTAAATACGGAGGAGCAGGGCTTTTGGTGTTAATCTGAGTTTCCAGTGGTATGAAAGAGTCTGTCCAAATAAGCATGAGCTATATAGATATGACAGCTGCCAGTCCAGAAAGGGCTTAATCTGGTCTGTCTTTAACATTTCTCTAATTTATTTCAGTTTTAACTGGTATCTGTTAGGATCAGCAGATCCCGAAAATGAAGTAAAAAGAAGTCTGTAGAAAAATGTGGAATTCATTGCTGATACCCCAAACTGCCACTTGTCAACTGGATTTAGCTGTAACAGTAACTCTCGATATGATGTATTTGCAGTGTGGCCCACAAATTTCCCTTCTAACTTGTCAGGGCATTTGGGAGAAGATCATGATTTAATTCTGAGAATCAGGCTTAGGGCCCCAGAGGAAAAAAGAGTAAGGGATAAGAATTTAAGAGGAGGAGAAAAAGTACTAGGTATGCTGAGGGGCCAGTGGTTTTACAGGGAAGGAGGCTGGTGTTTAGGAAGATAGTTATATGTGATTAAGAGGTAAAGGCAATAGTAGTCAGGTAGTCCTTAACTCCCATCTAGAATTTCAAAGAAATGCTATATCCTTTCCATAGATTGCAGTGGGTGTTACTTAGGGGAGGCATTTTTGGTACTAATCACATCTTAAATTTTTGGAGCAGGGAATGAAAAACTACCCTGAGGTTGGGTCTGAAGAAGGTTTCCTTGGCAACTCTCAGTCAAAGTTCCTGATGAAACTCAGCACACTGCGCATATGCGTCTATTTTCCTGTTTCTCAAAACACTTTAGTGGTCTCCCCCTGACCCGGACACAGACTTTTCCACCCAAAGGAGAAGAGTTGTCAAGGGGAGCTTCTCAGCAGAAGAGAAATTTCTGATAGACAAATATTTTTCTTTTTGGAATCATGGAGAGGCCAGTGGGCTGAGCACAGAGAAGAAACTAAGTGAGGAATGGTGAGATTAAATCGTGAGAACTTTCTGCTGGGTTCTGAGCTCCATCCCCAGGACCAGACAGGCTGTGCTCCAGGGGCAATGTGGAGGAAGAAAAAGCCGGTTGCTTCCACAGCTTCCTGCCTGCCTTAGGACTTTCCCAGCGCTGTCCCCTCAGCCCCGGTGGGCACAGCGCTGGGTCCTAAACACTTTCCACTGGACTGCTCCTGGAAGGGCACACCCAGGAACAACTGACCAGTGCCCTCTTGCTGCCGAGACATGACCACTTAAAAGAGGCCCACCCTTTTAGCATCCTTCATAGGCTCCTTAGGAAATTGTTAAAGACAGAAATTTTGAAATTGAATTTTAATGATTGTCAGAAAAGAGCGGTGAGGCACACAGCTGCTCCAGAGCAGTTGCTCCAGTGGCTCCATCCCGGGGACAAGCCAGCCTTTGGTCACCACACCCACCAGTCCAACAAGAAGAGAAAAGGAGGGGCAAAAAGGTGAAGATTTCAACTTTAGAGTGAGGCTCCGGCCCTGGGCATTTGAGGGTCACCCACCTCCACAAACACAAAAGAAAAAGTAAACAAAACAACTTCTAACTTCAGGGTCTCAGTCCCAGGGCACTCAAATGAATTGTGGGCCCAAGAACACAAACTTTTGTGAGGGATGAGGGGTGGGTGATAGGATATGGAGGCCTTCTCTCCCCCCGAGTCTCTTACACACAATCACCCAGGTGGGGACAGCACAGCCAGTCTGGGCAGTGAGGCCAGGAAGGACCTCGGGAGAAGAGCGGAGTTTTGTGGAAGAAGGAACCAGTTTCTCCCTCCGGATCCCAGGGCTTGTGTGCCGGAGTGAATGTGGTCGGATTAACGTTCCTTTTCCTTCTTCTGCCTGCCTGGGCCACGTCTAAATGAGAAGCAGTCCACAAGATAATGCTCTCCCCCCACCAGTTTCCTAATCCCAGAACTCAAGTGCCTGAGAGCGAAACTTCACCAAAAGTTATTGTCAGCAACAAATTCAGGCTGACAAATTGTCGATCATCATCGTGCCTTCAACATGCTGGATGGCTTTCAGCCAATAAAGAAGCAGATACAGGAAGAGCCGCTAGTAGAATGAGCAGGGTACAGGCCACAGCCCAGTCCATAGTTTTCCGGTGTTTCCCCCACTACCCCCGCCCCAAGCCCACCCAGTTCCCCAACCAGGGAGTGCGTTCCATGCCGGGACTGTGGGGCGCCCACCAGCTCGCTCCAGCCCCTGCTCCTTTCTTCCCCTCGCTCACACAGACGCTCACACAGAGGGCACCGAGGAGTCTCTCTTCTCTCTCTCCTCCAATTAACCCCTCTGGGTGCGCGTGTCTATGGTCTCAAGCACCCTTGATTTACAGTCATGTTACCCGAGTTTTCTTTTGTTTGAAATCCTGGGCCCGCAAGACCTTGGCATATGTTGGCCGTTACTTCTGCAAGCCTGTCTGTATCCTGCGACAGAGAAAATTATTAGGAATTGATGCTCAAGATAAATAATCATGATATTTTTACCTGTGGATGCCATGGAAGAATGTGTGCATATTAAATCATTTCAGAACTTAAGGGAACTCTGACAAAGATCTTTTGAAGTGTTTGCAGGTTAGCACGTCTATAAATACCGCCCCCCAAACACACACTAATTCATGGTGTCCTTCAATTTGTTTTTTACACTTTGGACTCACTCTGTGTTTCAAGTTTAGGAGCAACTTTAAACACACACATTGATTCAAATATGAATTTTCTATGTAAGATATGATTTCTTGCAGGGTTTACAAATCCAGTTACCTAATCATAAGGCTTCAGATTAAATTATCAGTCACAGCCCTCCTAGGAGGTTGATTTTGCTACAAAAGTTTGGGCTCACAATTTAATTCACTCTTCCACTTTCTCCAACTTGAATTTTCATTTCTGCATTTAAATACAACACAGCACTTGAATTAAGGGTCTTCTTGTTAAACTGGAGGCTTTTCTCATTTCCCTGAACTCTATAAATGAACTGCATTGTCACATAATCGATAGGAAAAACTCAGCTGTCACAGATCCTAAGCAACCCTTTGCCACAGAAATAACACGATCTGGCATTTCTGAGTTTGAAAAATGTGCCGTTTGGATGACATGAGACCAGAGCTACCCAAACGGCTTAAATGTCGTGGTCTCTATGAACCGCTGATGACCGACCTGCTGAGACTGACCAAGATATTGCGAATAGGCTTCTTTCCTGGTTAGAGACCAGGTCCTCCCTTTTTTCTTCCATAAACAAATGGTATGAGTATTGGCATCAGGGTTTCAAAGCTATTTCTAAGCTTATCTAAGTTTGTTTGCTCTCACAGAGTTTATAACAGAATTTCAGATTAGGTGTTTTCCTCCCCCAAAACAATAAGCAATTTAGATTTGAATTTTGGAGTTGAAATGAGAAACTAAATGTCCAACAACTTCAAAAGCTACCCTTTGAAGTCCTGGTTCATTCCCATCAATGTGATCAGGATTTCTGCAATATCTAAATCCTGCAGCTCAAAAGTGACTGAATCATAAGTAATGGGAACCCATAAATCTCCAGCAAGCTGTTTCTCTGACTCAATGTCACTGTCTCTTGTTGCACTCTTGGCCTTGTCTCTACAACCTGCCACACACAAATGCTGCCATATCATAGAGGGAGCATGAAGAAGATGTAATACTTCCTTATCTGTATTCTCTCTCCTTTTATCTATGATATACTACTCTGTACAGTTAACTCAATGACTTGTTTCACCTCGGGCATTTTTTTTAAAAAAGTGGTACTGGGCGGACCTACCGTGGAATCTACCCTACTTGGTAGATTAGATTATGAGATAAACATGTTAATTTATCTCAGAAGAATCCTGCTAAGAAGCCTCACGACCTTGGCCTACTACAAATCATTTACACACCGAAGGTGAAAGGTAATCTGATTCGTGCATTTGCTCTGTCAGCGAGTTGATGTATTAAATATTACAGTTACCTTTAGCCTACCTGGACCATTCTGTACAAAGAAAAGCACTAGTGGGGATCAGAGAGTAGCAAGCTAGGTGAGACAAATTCAGTTTATAACTTCAAAGCACGGATGTGTAAAACTTGTCTTTTCTAAAACTAAAGCGGTTGGAGCCCACATTTCCCACATCTACCATCTCTAAGATCATTGGGATGAACTAAGAAACACCACCTCTAATTAGTTCATTTGTCAGCAGAGAACCACCGCATCAAGCCAGGTATTTTGCTCCTATTCAACTCTAGAAGAAAATGGGACAACGTGGGCTATT